TGTCCCAGCTCCATCCCATGTCCCAGCCCCATCCCATGTCCCAGTCCCATCCCATGTCCCCTGTTCCCATGTCCCAGCCCCATCCCATGTCCCAGTCCCATCCCATGTCCCCTGTTCCCATGTCCCAGTCCCATCCCATGTCCCAGCCCCATCCCATGTCCCCTGTTCCCATGTCCCGTTCCCATGTCCCAGCCCCATCCCATGTCCCCTGTCCCCATGTCCCAGCCCCATCCCATGTCCCAGTCCCATCCCATGTCCCAGTCCCATCCCATGTCCCCTGTCCCCATGTCCCAGCCCCATCCCATGTCCCAGTCCCATCCCATGTCCCCTGTTCCCATGTCTCAGTCCCATCCCATGTCCCCTGTTCCCATGTCCCAGCCCCATCCCATGTCCCAGCCCCATCCCATGTCCCCTGTTTCCATGTCCCAGCCCCATCCCATGTCCCCTGTTCCCATGTCCCAGCCCCATCCCATGTCCCAGTCCCATCCCATGTCCCCTGCTCCCATGTCCCAGTCCCATCCCATGTCCCCTGCTCCCATGTCCCCTGCTCCCATGTCCCCTGTTCCCATGTCCCAGCCCCATCCCATGTCCCCTGTTCCCATGTCCCAGCCCCATCCCATGTCCCAGTCCCATCCCATGTCCCCTGCTCCCATGTCCCAGTCCCATCCCATGTCCCCTGCTCCCATGTCCCCTGTTCCCATGTCCCAGCCCCATCCCATGTCCCAGTCCCATCCCATGTCCCCTGTTCCCATGTCCCAGCCCCATCCCATGTCCCAGTCCCATCCCATGTCCCCTGTTCCCATGTCCCAGCCCCATCCCATGTCCCCTGCTCCCATGTCCCCTGCTCCCATGTCCCCTGCTCCCATGTCCCCTGTTCCCATGTCCCAGCCCCATCCCATGTCCCCTGCTCCCATGTCCCAGCCCCATCCCATGTCCCAGCCCCATCCCATGTCCCCTGCTCCCATGTCCCAGCCCCATCCCATGTCCCAGCCCCATCCCATGTCCCCTGCTCCCATGTCCCCTGTTCCCATGTCCCAGCCCCATCCCATGTCCCCTGCTCCCATGTCCCAGCCCCATCCCATGTCCCAGCCCCATCCCATGTCCCAGTCCCATCCCATGTCCCCTGTTCCCATGTCCCAGCCCCATCCCATGTCCCCTGTTCCCATGTCCCAGCCCCATCCCATGTCCCAGTCCCATCCCATGTCCCCTGCTCCCATGTCCCAGCCCCATCCCATGTCCCAGTCCCATCCCATGTCCCCTGCTCCCATGTCCCCTGTTCCCATGTCCCAGCCCCATCCCATGTCCCCTGCTCCCATGTCCCCTGTTCCCATGTCCCAGCCCCATCCCATGTCCCCTGCTCCCATGTCCCAGCCCCATCCCATGTCCCAGCCCCATCCCATGTCCCCTGCTCCCATGTCCCCTGCTCCCATGTCCCCTGTTCCCATGTCCCAGCCCCATCCCATGTCCCCTGTTCCCATGTCCCAGCCCCATCCCATGTCCCCTGCTCCCATGTCCCCTGTTCCCATGTCCCCTGTTCCCATGTCCCCTGCTCCCATGTCCCGTTCCCATGTCCCAGCCCCATCCCATGTCCCCTGCTCCCATGTCCCAGCCCCATCCCATGTCCCCTGCTCCCATGTCCCCTGCTCCCATGTCCCCTGTTCCCATGTCCCCTGCTCCCATGTCCCCTGTTCCCATGTCCCAGCCCCATCCCATGTCCCCTGCTCCCATGTCCCCTGTTCCCATGTCCCCTGTTCCCATGTCCCCTGTTCCCATGTCCCCTGCTCCCATGTCCCCTGCTCCCATGTCCCCTGTTCCCATGTCCCAGCCCCATCCCATGTCCCCTGCTCCCATGTCCCCTGTTCCCATGTCCCCTGTTCCCATGTCCCCTGCTCCCATGTCCCCTGTTCCCATGTCCCAGCCCCATCCCATGTCCCCTGTTCCCATGTCCCAGTCCCATCCCATGTCCCCTGCTCCCATGTCCCAGCCCCATCCCATGTCCCAGCCCCATCCCATGTCCCCTGTTCCCATGTCCCCTGCTCCCATGTTCCTCGCTGCCCCCCCCGCCCCATGCCCTGTGTCCGTGCCGGGCAGGGGCCGCAGGGAGCCCCCCTTTCCCCCCCGTTGCCCCCCCATGCCCGTTCCAGGTTTCCTGTTTTCCCGACTCCGCTTCCTCCTCCCCGGGCCCGATCCCGGCAGAGCCCGACCCCGGCCATGGAGCGACCCCGAGCCTGCCCCCAATCCCCCGGGATCCATTGGATCCAATGGGACCCCAGGGAGCTGCCCTGGGGGGGGGGGTGTCCGGCCGCGCCCCCCCCAACCCCAGCGCGGCACCCACTGGGCACGGCCGGATGGCACCCACCCAGCGCCAGCGCCGCCGGCACCACCCGTTGGCTCCGGCTGGAGCGGATGGGGACGGGATGGGACTGGGAATAGAATGGGAATAGGGACGGGAATGGGATTGGGATGGGAATGGGACTGGGATAGGAATACAGATAGGAATGGGGATGGGATTGGGATTGGGATAGGAATATGGATAGGAATGGGGATGGGAATAGGAATGGGATGGGAATAGGGATGGGGATGGAAATGGGATTGGGATGGGAATAGGGATGGGAATGCAGATGGGAATGGGAATAGGGATGGGGATGGAATAGGGATGGAATGGGGATGGGAATGGGATTGGGATGGGAATGGGGATGGGAATGGGATTGGGATGGGAATAGGGATGGGAATGTGGATGGAATGGGATTGGGATGGGAATGGGGTGGGAATAGGCATGGGGATGGGAATAGGGATGGGAACAGGAATGGGAATAGGGATGGGAATGGGAAGGGAATTGAGATGGGAATAGGAATGGGAATAGGGATGAGAATGGGGATGGGAATAGGAATGGGAATAGGGGTGAGGATGGGAATAGAGATGGGAACGGTGGCCATGCTCAGCAGCCCCCAGTGGGTCACAACACGGGGTGAGGGCAGCACCCATGTGTGCAGTCATGCAACACGCCTGCGCAGAGCCATGTAAAGTTGGGTAGAGCCAAGTCAAGGGGAATGGGGTTGGAAATGGGAATGGGGATGGGGACGGGAATGGGGATGGGAATAGGGATAGGGATGGGGATGGGATGGGGATGGGGGTGAGGATGGGGATAGGGATGGGGATGGGATGGAATGGGAGTAGTGATGGGGATGGGGATGGGAATAGGGATGGGGATGGGGATGGGGATGGGATGGAATGGAAATAGTGATGGGGATGGGAATAGGGATAGGGATGGGGATGGGATGGGGATGGGAATAGGGATAGGGATGGGGATGTGGATGGGACAGGGGCTGTCGGCCGCCCTCATCATCTCCCAGCTGCTCACAGCACGGGGTGAGCGCAGCCCCTTCAGCCTCCCGCACCCGCACCACCCCGATCCCCATCCCCATCCCCGGCACCCACCGCGCCCCTTGTGCTTGATCTCCTGGATGATGAAGGAGAAGTTCCCCCCGCCGCGGAACACCACGTCCAGCACGGTGAGGTTGCGCAGGGCCGGCAGCTGCACGTAGAGCCCTTCGGCGGCGAAGAAGTAGGGGCGGTCGTCGACCTTCTCGTCCCAATAAACCAGCAGCGCCCGGCGGGTCCAGTTGAAGCGGCGGTGGAGCTGCACCCCCAGCTCGCCCAGCTTGCGGTGGCTGGGACCGGCTCTGGTCGTGAGCCCGAACTGCTCCCGTTTGTCGTCGAAGCCGTGAGCCTCGGCCCCGGCCGTCACCAGCGGCAGTCGCCAGTGGCTCGTGAAGCGGGCGACCGGCGCCGCCGTGTACACGCAGCCCGGCCCGAGGAAGGCTGCGGGGTGATGGGCGAGCTGCAGGTCGACGGCGGCCAAAGGCGCGGCCATCTCGGAGCAGACGCCGTGCCCGTCCTCGCTGCTGCCGAACACCCAGCGCAGGGTGAAGCCCGGCAGGAGGTCGGAGCGGGCGTTCACGGCGCCCACGGCCAAGCGCACGGCGGGGCCCACGCGTGGCCAAGCCCAGGGGTAGCTGAGGTTGCGCTCGGGCAGCACCACGGCCAAAGTCAGCGCCGTGGCCGCCGCCGTCGGTGCCGCGCAGCAGAGCGCGGCCAGGACCGCGAGCATCGCCCCACGGAGAAGGGACTTTGGGACTGCCCCCCCCCCCCCCCCCCCCACCTCCTGCCCTCCAACCCAGCGGCACAACGGGGCTGAGCCCTTCCTTCCCCCCCCCTTCCCCTCCGTTATCATCCACACCGAGCTTAACCCCTTCCTGCCCGCCCCGGCGGAGCGCTGCGGGACGGGGCCGCCCCGTGGAGGGTGCGGGAAGTTGCACCCGTGGGGTGTTAAATGGGGGGGGGGGGGTTTAAGGGATGGGACCCCCATGGGAAAGGGGGTGCTGGGACCTCCCCCAAACTCGCCCCACGGAGCCGCCCCGTCGGGGTTCAATGGGGCTCGGGCACCCACGGGGAGGTGAGCGCGGGGCGGTGCTGCTCCGGTTCCCCCCCCTGCCCCATCGCACCCCACCGGACGCGAGTTGGGGGTTTGGGGACACGGGGAGCGCGGCCTCCCCCCGACGCTCCCAACGAACCGTGAGCCCCATAAGCGTGCGATGGGGAGGGGGGGCGGGTGTGATGAATGTCATTAATTAAATGACATTAAATTAATGAATGTCATTAATTAAAGTGTTAATGAAGGGGAAAAAAGAAGCTAGCAGAGGATGGTTTCGATCCATCGACCTCTGGGTTATGGGCCCAGCACGCTTCCGCTGCGCCACTCTGCTGCTGGCGGTCACCGCTGCTATCAGCGCTCTAAGTACCTACTCCGCTTTGCGCATGCGCACCACCCCCTGCTGTGTTAATGCCCATCGCGCGCCCTCCAGCGGCCACCCGCGCCATCACCGCTCTGTTTCCCCCCTCCCCGCTTTGATCGACATCTGCTTGAACCAATAGCGTGTCACCTCCGCGCTGGCAGTGGGCGGGCCTAAACCTGCGTGAGCCAATAGGGGGAGAGGTTGTTGCGTGGTGCCGGCAGCGCAGAGCGGCGGGGTCTCATTGTTGGGCACGGCGGGATCATGAGGTGCGGGGACGGGAATGGGAATGGGAATGGGATGGGGGTGGGATGGGGATAGGAATGGGGATGGGGACGGGATGGGATGGGAATGGGGATGGGGACGGGAATGGGGATGGGAATGGGGAAGGGATGGGTATAGGAATGGGGAAGGGAATGGGAAGGGATGGGAATAGGGATGGGAATGGGAATGGGAATAGGGATGGGGACGGGATGGGCATGGGGATGTGAATGTGGAAAGGATGAGACTGGGAATGGGAATGGGGACGGGATGGGAATGGAGATAGCAATGGGATGGGGATAAGATGGGAATAGGGATGGAGATGGGATGAGGATGGGAATGGGATGGGGATAGGGATGGGATGGGGATGATGGGAATGGGAATGGGATGAAAATGGGATAGGAATGGGGACAGGGATGGGAATAGGATGGTATGGGAACGGGGATGATGGGAATGGAATGGGGATAGGGATGTGAATGGGGAAGGGATGAGGATGGGAATGGGAAGGGAGACGGGATGGGAATGGAATGGGGATAGGGATGTGAATGGGGAAGGGATGAGGATGGGAATGGGATGGGAATGGGGATGGGAATAGGATGGGATGGGAATGGGATGAAAATGGGATAGGGATGGGAATAGGATGCGATAGGGATGAGATGGGAATGGGGATGATGGGGATGGGATGGGGATAGGGATGGGAATGGGGGGGTCCCGGTCCCCGTTAACACCGTTCCCATCTCTCTCCCGCAGGGGCGACCGAGGCAGAGGCCGCGGCGGACGCTTTGGTTCCAGGGGAGGCCCTGGCAGTGGGCGAGTCTGGCTTCTGCTCTAGCGAGGGTGGCTCTTTAGCACGGCAGGACCTAGCGGGGGGGGCCCGCGGCCGCTGCGGCCGCGCTGTGGGGCGGCAGGAGCCGGGATTGGGGGGGGGAACGGAGCTGGCAGCGTAGTGCAGGAGAACGATGAGGAGTAGAGCACCGATGGGGAGGGGGGGGGTTGGAATGGAGCGGCCCCTCCGGGCCGGTGGGCACAGGGGAGCCCCGGTGCGCGGCCATTGCCCGTAGGCACCGGGGTGTGGGGCTGAGCTATGGATAGCGGGGCTCAGAAGAAGCCTTTCCCGTTTCTATAGGGCTTTTCCGGCGTCTCCGGGCTGGGCTGTGGGGTGGTTGGGATCCCCCCCTTCCCCATCAGAGGATAAAGTTGGTTCTTGTCTTCTTTTATCCCTTTAGGTTCCGGCCCTTTGTGCCGCACATCCCCTTTGATTTCTATGTCGTGAGTAAGCTGTGTGCAGGGGACAACTCGTGTAAAGCTTCATCCACAACCCCCAGTGTGCTGGGGTTGGTTTAGGGTAGCCGGAGGCAAGGAGCATGCTGGAGATGCTGTTGGTTCCGTAACCAACCCCACGTAGATCGCCTTGTGCGGAGTCTTTGTGTTACCTGGGATGCAGTGGGGTAGCACCCACAATCAGTGCTTCCAGTGAGGCTTTTCTGCCTCTCCCCACCCCAGGACCCCCAGCTCTTTGTCACCCAGACCCTGGAGCTGGGCCCATCGGGTGCTCTCCAGGCTCTTTGGGCTGTGTCAGTGGTGGAATCGCGCTGCGTTGGGAGGAAGGGAGCTTAAAACTCCTCCTGGTCCAAGCGCCTGTGTCCAACGTGGCCTTGAGCACTGCCAGGGATGGGGCAGGCGCAGCTGCTCCGTTCACCCCATTCCAGTGTCCCATCACCCGCACCGGGAAGAGCTGCTTCCTCACAAGGAGCAGCAGCAACGTGCATGTACCCCCTTTAGACGAGGACCTGATTCCCTCCTCCCGCCCCACGTCTTCCCTTTAGGATCTGTGACATCCGGAGCAAACAGATGCATTGAATCATCCGTTCCAGGGACTGAAACCCCTCTCCCTAAACCCCTTCCTCGTTAGACCTGCCCTGCCCGCATGCTGGGAGCTGCCCTCTTCCCTTAGGACAACGTGACAGTGTGGTTCTGAAGGCACCACAGTGTGGTCCAGGCTCTGGGGGCAGGATGGAGCTCATCCCTGCTCCCTTTTCCAGTGTGAAATGGCTTTTCCCCGCGTGAAGCCGGCCGCGGATGAGACCGCCTTCAGCGAGGCCCTGCTCAAGAGGAACCAGGACCTGGCTCCCACCGCTGCCGAACAGGTTCTGGGTCAGAGCCCTTTGGCTGCATGGGAGCAGGGGGTTAGGGAGCCCGGAGCGTGGGCTGCAGCGTGCTTCGGGGAGGGACCCTGCAGGTGCTACGGGAGCAGAGGTCCTTGGGCAGTGGGGTTTCAGTGTGGGTCTCCATTACAGAGCAGGGCTGTGTGCGTGGTGCTGGGTGTTCTGAGGGGGGGGACGGACAGAACTGACACCACCCCCTTCCATGCACTTCCTTTCCAGGCCTCCATCCTTTCCCTGGTGACCAAGATAAACAACGTGATCGACAACTTGATCGTGGCACCGGGGACGTTCGAAGTGGTGAGGCCAAAAGCAGGGGGGAGATGGGGGGGTGTGTGTGTGGAATTCCATGTTCCTGCTCCCAAACCTGCCTCCGAGGGATGCTCGGATGTGGCCCGTGGGTTGCGTTTCCTCATGGTTGCTCTGCTCTTCCCCACAGCAAATCGAGGAGGTTCGTCAGGTGGGCTCCTACAAGAAGGGGACCATGACCACAGGCCACAACGTGGCCGATCTGGTGGTGATCCTCAAGATCTTACCCACCCGTGAGTGCTGGCCACGTGTCCTCCTCCTGGCGCCAGCCTCAGCCCTGCTCTCACCCCTGCTCCTTCTCCTTCTTCCCAGTGGAAGCTGTGGCAGCCTTGGGGAACAAAGTTGTGGAGAGCCTGCGAGCTCAGGACCCTGGTGAAGGTGGGATGGGGCCTCCGTCCCTATGGGCTTGAGGGGGGCAACCACCGCAGCTCAAACCCCTTGAGCCCTGGTGCCCAGCTGGGGTATGTGCCCCCTTTGCTGGTGTCCTGTCCCCCCCCCCCAGCCCTTCCATGAGGAATTCTCTCTCTGTGCCCCCAGTCCTGACCATGCTGACCAACGAGACGGGCTTTGAGATCAGCTCGGCCGACGCCACGGTGAAGATCCTCATCACCACGGTGCCCCCCAACCTGCGCAAGCTGGACCCGGAGCTGCACCGTGAGGGCTCCCTGCTGCCCACGGGGGGGAACCCTTCCTGCGGCCCGGGGAGCTTCCCAAAGGCCCATCCCTGTGCTCCTTCCCGTTAAACCCAACCCTTTGTGCTGTACTTGCAGTGGACATCAAGGTGCTGCAGAGCGCCCTGGCTGCCATCAGGCACGCGCGCTGGTTCGAGGAGAACGCGTCGCAGTCCACGTGAGTTGGGGCCTCCAGTGGGAATTCCGCCCTGGAAGAGCCTCTCCTGAGCCGCCTTCCCGTTGTCTGCCCCAGGGTGAAGGTCCTGATCCGGCTGCTGAAGGACCTGAGGATTCGATTCCCCGGCTTCGAGCCCCTCACGCCCTGGATCCTGGACCTGCTGGTGAGCAGACGACGGGAATGCCGGCAGCGGCGTTCCCGGGCTCTCATCCCAACGCCCTCTTTGTGTGTTCACCTCTGCAGGGCCACTACGCTGTGATGAACAACCCCACCCGGCAGCCCCTGGCTCTCAACATCGCCTACAGGTCTGGGGCTGCTTCCTTCCCTCCTAGAAATCCCTGTTTTGAACACATCCAAGGAAAGCAGCAGCATCCCATAGCCTTGAAGGGACCTTTCCATGCTGGAATGGTCTCACTCCGAACCTCAAACCATCTCATCTGATGGGCTTGAAGGGACCTTTCCATGCTGGAATGGTCTCCTAACCTCAAACCATCTCATCCCATAGGTTTGAAGGGAGCTTTCCATGCTGGAATGGTCTCCGAACCTCAAACCATCTCATCCCATAGACTTGAAGGGAGCTTTCCATGCTGGAATGGTCTCCCTCCTAACCTCAGGCCATCTCATCCTATAGGCCTGAAGGGAGCTTTCCATGCTGGAATGGTCTCCTAACCTCAAACCATCTCATCTGATGGGCTTGAAGGGAGCTTTCCATGCTGGAATGGTCTCCTAACCTCAAACCATCTCATCTGATGGGCTTGAAGGGAGCTTTCCATGCTGGAATGGTCTCCTAACCTCAAACCATCTCATCTGATGGGCTTGAAGGGAGCTTTCCATGCTGGAATGGTCTCCTAACCTCAAACCATCTCATCTGATGGGCTTGAAGGGACCTTTCCATGCTGGAATGGTCTCCCTCCTAACCTCAGACCATCTCATCCCATAGGCGCTGCCTCCAGATCCTGGCTGCGGGGCTCTTCCTCCCCGGCTCCGTGGGCATCACGGATCCCTGTGAGAGTGGGAACTTCCGAGTCCACACGGTCATGACCCTGGAGCAGCAGGTGAGCTCCTGCCCTGCTGTGGGACGGGATCAGGACCCCTCCGGGCCCTGACCGGGCCCTCTTCCCGTGCAGGACATGGTGTGCTACACGGCGCAGACCCTCGTCCGCATCCTCTCCCATGGAGGCTACAGGAAAATCCTTGGCCAAGAGGGTGATGCCAGTTGTAAGTGGGGCTGGGGCCAACGCCTGGCACCGTTGGGGCTCTCACTGAGCTGCTGGGAAGCCTCCTGGAGCAACAGGAAGGCTTCCATGGGGCTGGGGTTTGGCTGTGTGGCTCCAAGCCCCCACCCCGTGTTGGGTTTGCAGACCTGGCTTCGGAGATGTCCACGTGGGATGGGGTGATAGTGACGCCTTCCGAGAAGGCTTATGAGAAGCCTCCAGAGAAGAAAGAAGGGGAAGAGGAAGAAGAGAACCAAGAGGAACCTGCTGCAGGTGAGGAAGAGGAGAGCATGGAGACACAGGAGTGAAGGTGCCCATGGAAAGCCTTGGGGGCTGCTGCAGTGCCCCGAGCAGAGGCTGTGCTAGAACTCGAGCAGAGGAACGAGCCCACGACCTCTCCCTTGGCTGTGTTTTTATAAGCTGCCCATTAAAACGTTTCCCCCCTTTTGGAGCACGTCCTGGTTGGTTCAAGTGAAAGACCCACGATGGGAAAGGGGCCGGGATGCAGTCGTCAGCCCATCAGCACCTCCTTTATTACAGCACCTCCAGCTCTGCCCAGCCAACTGTGGCTCTCCCCTGCTCCTCACCCTGGAGGCCATCTCCATGCCACAACCAAGGCGGGGTGGGGGGGGGATCCCTGCTCCCCTCCTGGCCCATTCCCATCATTGTCCTTTTGTGGGGCTCACACCCCCAGCAGCCCCCAGCTCGTGGGGCTCTGGGCACAGCCTCACTTGCCCGGCAGCCCCTGGGGGTAGGCCCCGGCCGCCTCCAGCATCGCTCTCCTCCGCACCGTCTCCTTGGCCACGCTGTGGTTGAGCCTCCGCAGCCGTTCCTGTGCCAGGGGAGGAGGAGGAGCAGCGGCAGCCGTCAGGATGGAGGGGATTGGAACCCCTGTTTGCTCCCCATTCCCCCCCATTGGGATGCCTGGGCTGACCTGAGCGTTCTGCAGGATGTTGTTGACCAGCACCACCCGGCGCCGGGCGTTCAGCAGCTTCTTCACGTAGGGGTCGAGGTCCAGGGCCACCTTCTGGTCCTCATTGATGCGGCAGAGCTCTGGGGAGAAGGGGGCAGAGGTGGGGGGGGGGGGGGGCATGTCTTGGACGTGCCCCCCATATCCTGGAGGTGATGCCCCCATATCTTGGGAGTGATTCCCCATGTCTTGGAGGTGCCCCCCCATGTCTTGGAGCTGTCCCTCATGTCTTGAAGGAGCCCCTCATGTCCTGGAGGTGCCCCCCCCATGTCTCAGAAGTGCCCCCCATGTCTCAGAGGTGCCCCTCATGTCCTGGAGGTGCCCCCCCCATGTCTCAGAAGTGCCCCCCATGTCTCAGAGGTGCCCCTCATGTCCTGGAGGTGCCCCCCATGTCTTGGAAGTGATCCCCCCCATGTCTTGGAGGTGATGCCCCCCATGTCTTGGAGATGCCCCCCCCCATGTCTTGGAGGTGCCCCCCATGTCTCGGAGGTGATCCCCATGTCTTGGAGGTGATCCCCATGTCTTGGAGGTGCCCCCCATGTCTTGGAGGTGATCCCCATGTCTCGGAGGTGCCCCCCATGTCTCGGAGGTGATCCCCATGTCTCGGAGGTGCCCCCCATGTCTCGGAGGTGATCCCCATGTCTCAGAGAACCCCCCCCGGTCTCACCAGTGGCCAGGCTGTCGATGTGCTCCCGCAGCTCCACCTGGCTCTCCCTGCGGAGGTCACAGCTCCATGCCCCACGGCCCGGACACCCCAAACCCATCCCTGCTCCCTCCACCGCGGACCCAGCGCCCCATTGCCCCCCCCTTCCAGCCCCGTGCCCACCCCAAACACTCCCTGCGCTCCCCACAGCCCGGCCCCAAACCCCTATGTCCCCACGCAGCAACCCCGAGCTCCCCTCAGGCCCCGTCCGCCCCGGTTCCCCCCCGCCCCGTTCCGCCGCTCCCGGACCTGACGGCATGGACGTGCCCATCGAGCTGCCGCACCGCCGGGCGCAGGAACTGCAGCAGCCCCTCCGCGAACAGCTCCCGAGCCGCGGGGCCGGGACCGGGGCCGGTGCTGGGGCTGCTGCCCGCCGCCATCACGGCCGGGGAATGGCGTCCCCTCAGCGCTGGGCGGGAAAGGCCGCTTCCGCGGGGCATGATGGGAAATGTAGTCCGGAACGAGGTAAAGGGAACGGGTTCTGGTTGGAGCCGCGAGGCATGCTGGGAAGTGTAGTCCGCAAGGGAGAGATGGAAGCCTATTGGTCCGAGCCGGGGGGGATGCTGGGTAATGTAGTCCGGAAGGGACAGAGGATGGAGGCTTTGGTCCGTGCCGCGGGGGATGCTGGGAAATGTAGTCCGCAAGGGGACGCGTGCGGAACTCGGGGAAAGCGCGCTGAGGGCGTTTTTGGGTTTATCGTTTTGGGGGGTTTTAATCGTTTTTTGGGGTTTTTTATCGTTTTCGGCCGTTTTACACTCAAAGCTCAGCGCAGGAGCCCGGCCGCGGGGTGTGTCACGGTCCAGCAGCTGCAGAGCGCGGGGCAGCAGCACCCGGACCCAGCACGGGCTAAGCGAGCACCTGAGGGATCCCTTAACATGGACAGGGGGTTCTCTCCATCCCTTAAACATGGACATGGGGCTCCCTCCATCCCTGGGACCCTTTAACATGGACATGGGGCCCCCTCCATCCCTTTAACATGGACATGGGGCCCCCTCCATCCCTTTAACATGGACAGGGGGCCCCCTCCATCCCTTAAACATGGACATGGGGCTCCCTCCATCCCTGGGACCCTTTAACATGGACATGGGGCCCCCTCCATCCCTTAAACACGGACATGGGGCTCCCTCCATCCCTGGGACCCTTTAACATGGACATGGGGCCCCCTCCATCCCTTTAACATGGACATGGGGCCCCCTCCATCCCTTAAGCATGGACATGGGGCTCCCTCCATCCCTGGGACCCTTTAACATGGACATGGGGCCCCCTCCATCCCTTAAACACGGACATGGGGCCCCCTCCATCCCTGGGACCCTTTAACATGGACATGGGGCCCCCTCCATCCCTTTAACATGGACATGGGGCTCCCTCCATCCCTGGGACCCTTTAACATGGACATGGGGCTCCCTCCATCCCTTAAACACAGACATGGGACTCCCTCCATCCCTGGGACACTTTAACATGGACATGGGGCCCCCTCCATCCCTTAAACATGGACATGGGGCCCCCTCCATCCCTGGGACCCTTTAACATGGACATGGGGCCCCCTCCATCCCTTTAACACGGACATGGGGCTCCCTCCATCCCTGGGACCCTTTAACATGGACATGGGGCTCCCTCCATCCCTTAAACACAGACATGGGACTCCCTCCATCCCTGGGACCCTTTAACATGGACATGGGGCCCCCTCCATCCCTTAAACATGGACATGGGGCTCCCTCCATCCCTGGGACCCTTTAACATGGACATGGGGCCCCCTCCATCCCTTAAACACGGACATGGGGCTCCCTCCATCCCTGGGACCCTTTAACATGGACATGGGGCTCCCTCCATCCCTTTAACATGGACATGGGGCCCCCTCCATCCCTTAAACATGGACATGGGGCTCCCTCCATCCCTGGGACCCTTTAACATGGACATGGGGCCCCCTCCATCCCTTAAACACGGACATGGGGCTCCCTCCATCCCTGGGACCCTTTAACATGGACATGGGGCTCCCTCCATCCCTTAAACACAGACATGGGACTCCCTCCATCCCTGGGATGCCCTTAACATGGACATGGACTCCCTCCATCCCTGGACCCCTTTACTATGGACATGAGGCTCCCTCCACCCCTTTAACAGGGACATGGGGCTCCCTCCAACCCTGGGACCCCTTAACACGGACATGGGGCTCCCCCATCCCTTTAACTCACCTCCTCCAGCCGGCTCTGCCCACTCGGGGCCCCGCTCCCGCTGCATCTTCTCTGGCTGCCTGCAGCCCTGCCCGCGGTCCTGCCCCCTCCCCTGCCTGTTCCTGCTTCCCGGGACGCCCCCCGCTCAGGGCCCAACAATCCCCATTTGCATGGAAAACAAGCAGCACAGAGTCCACAACCGCTTTGATAATGACTTTTCCTTTGTTAACAACAAACCAGAACTACAAGATTCCATGGGAACTGGAACGGTTCACATTATGGCTGAATCCAACGGGGTACAGACCCCTGCCCACACAGGCACAAGGGAGAACTGGGAGGGGGGGGGGTTATACCATAAGGGATGAACGTTGGACCCCATTGTTTTAGGGGCCCAACTCCATTTCACCTTCCCTGCTGTCATTTGAACTTCCTGCTTCCAATTCGTTTCACCAGATACGGAAACCACCGGCTCCAACACAACGGAAAGAAGCCAAACTTTAATCTAAAAACCATCGGAAAACCCAACTAAAGGAAGTCTGCAACCTGGGCAGTGCCCTGCCCGCAACGCTGGCTACCGATAACGAGAGGAAACAGTGGTGGTGAGGCAAAGCCTGGCGTGGGGAGCGCCACAAGGAAACCTGCCCCGAGGGTTTGTCCTCCTGGGAAGAGGTTTTTGTTGCTTCAAGATGGGTTCAAATTGAGCCCTGGGTGTAAGCTCGGCCCTGCGGTGGCGTTTGGGGATGGGGGTGATCCCAAAATGCCACCACGGAGCTTAAAAAGAGGCACGGAACCGCAGGATCGTGTCACCAGCACCAATGTCAGCGGGTTCACGTTCGTGTTGGGGGTGGGGGGGAAGAGGAGAAATAAAGATATAAAAACAATCCCAAAGGAAGAGGTTTTCATACAACAGAGTATCAAAAGGTGAAAGGAAGACACTAAAGCCCGGGCTGCTCCCTACGCCGGCGGCTCCTCCCGGCAGGACTCAGGCTTTTCCCATGTTTAGCTTTACGGGCACCACACACCAACTTCCACAAGGTCTCTGGGAAAGGCCCTTCAGTCGTTGGACTCGGGGTCTGTCTGAGCCATGTAAGCATCCAGCTCGGCGTCCAGGTGTCCTTTCGTCTTAGACATGTAGGCATCCAACTGGTTATCCAGCTGCTCCTTGGTCAGCGCCGGCCGCGCCGATCCTCTGCCTCGGCCCCGGCCTCTGCCGCGGCCTCCGAAGCCGCCCCGGCCCCGTCCGGCCATGCCACGACCTTGGAGGGGGAACCAAGAGGATGGTTACAGCCAGCATGGGCTTTGGGAATGCAGGTGCCTGAACACCCACCCCCCCACTGAGATTCCCAAGATTCCACACGCCTCTGGGTCAGGCTGAAGCTTTTGGTGGCCAAGGAGCAGCAGCATCACCCCTTAGAAGCCCATTTTGCCATGGAATCCGGAGTTTTTCAGCCTAACTCAAATGTGTCAGGCTGAAGTTGTGGAGGGATCAGCAGCTTCCTGGGTAACTGCTCCCACAAACACGGAGCCAATCCCACAGGATCATGAGAGCACATCTGGCTGAAACACGAACCACCACCCAGCACAGCTGTCTCGTTTCCTCCTGCTTCCCCCATCCCTGTGGTGAAGAGGGTTCACTTCCCCAAACTGATTCAGTTCCAGAGGCTGAATTTGAGTTTATTTTGCAGGGTTCAGACTTTCTCCTCTGCTCATTTCCCCCTGACTGATGGGTTTAAGAGCCTCGTGGTCTGCACAGGCCCTGCATCACGTCCTCCAGCGCGAGGAGACAGAGCAGTCTTCCTCAACAGGAGTACCTGCTGCCTCCCCACTGTTCCAAGCCATGGGTACAACTTCAGCAGCCATGCCCAGAGCCCTTTGTGGACACAGTCAGGGAGCCCCAATGGGTGTTTTGGGAATTAAATCCCTCATTTAGCACTATGCCATGCATGGATTCAGAGGGGTTGGGGGCTGCACCACAGGAGACGGAATTACAGCTGTGTGTTATTACCCTTGTGAGCACCAACCTCTGCCTCCGAGTCCCCCGCGGCCCATCGCGCCTCGGCCCAGACCTCCTCTTCCAGGGCCACCACGGCCTCGAAGGCCACCTCTCCTCAGGCCCATCCTGGGGGATATCCCTCGTCCTCCACGCAGCAGGCTCTGACCTTTGAGAGGGAATTCCAATGGGAAAGCGATCAGTTTTCCGACAGAATCAGAGTCACGCTGTCCACAACATCCCTGGTGACAGCCCAGCAGCTCCAGTGCCACACGGATTGGGATCTGACCTCGGAGCGGGATCCCTCCTCGCAGCAGAGCTCTGGCTCCCCGGCCTCCACGCATGGCTCCCCGTGGCAAACCCCTCTGCCCCATGGACAATCCTCTTCCCCCCATGGCTCCGCGAGCGAGGGGCCCCGCTGGTCGGCCTAACCGGGCCTGGATGTTGCTTTTCCCAAGGCGTTGCTTCAAGCTCTTCTGGAATAAAAGATGTGTAAGAAAGGGGAGAAAAAGTCATGCAGCAATCGTGGACTTGCCCCACAACCAGCACAGCTGTCACCCATCAACACAACAGGGGTGATGCCCTGGTGTATCTCGCTGTAAGGAAACCAGAGGGCTACCAGCTCTCTGCAATGGATGATCAAGCTTCAAAGGCAGTCAAATCTGGTCTGGGAGGGAGAACTGGTGCAGGGCAGAGAGCAAAGCCCTGTGTCTGTCCAGAGACAAGGAAGCACTTTGCTCTCTGCTTTCAGCAGTGCTGCTCAGGCCAAAGCCAAGCAGATCCTTCATCCTAAAGGCAGCCCAATGATCCCTTCTGCTGGGATAGTCCAAGCTGATCCCTGCTGCACAAACCCAGCCTCCCTCCACGGAGCGAGTGACATCTGTGAGCCACACACCATGGATATCATTCCCTAACCCCATCCTGTTTCCATACAAAGCTAGGAAAAGCATCCACTTTTCTGTTTATACAAGCAGCAAACTGTACTGAAGAGATTTACCCTCACCAGAGCAGCTGCAGAACAGTCATCACTGTGTGTTTGGCTTTTGAAGTGGGTTCTTCACCAGAATCCATTCCCTGGAGCTCCTGCTCCCAAATGCTCACACAGAAGGGCTGCAGACACGGCTCAACTTCTCACCAAGGTGGGCTTTACATCCCAGCTTAAGACAGTTTACATCCCAGTTTAGTCATATTCCCAACAGCCTAAACCAGGAGCCTCTCTCCTGTGCCCAGCCTCACCAGCAGGAAGGAAAGAGAAAGCATGTGTACGATCCACATCCAACTACTCCTTGATGTCACTTACCACCCGAGTTTAAAGTTAAGCTGCTGGACCTGGGGCTGAAACAGGCCCGAGAGGCTCAGCCCTTCTGCTCTGCCCCAGAGCACCTTGGTCTGCTCCAGCTACTAAGCAAAGGCACGTCCAGAACCAGTCAGTACAAATGGGTTTGCATTAAAGACAGAACACGGGAGGTTTATTTAAGCACTCGTGCACTCAGCTGCAAACCACAGACCCAGGAATCGCACACCAAGTGCTCCACAGAGCTCAGAATGGTCCCTTCGCAGAGCACTCACATCCCAGAGGATCAGAAATGCTCCTGGTGATAGCCTGCACTTGGGAAAATCCCATCACCACATCAACTTCCAGAGCCCAGAGAGCAACACAACAGAATCCAGGCTCCGAAATACCCCCACGGCCCCCCTTTTATGTGCAGAAATCCATGGAAGTACATTTGCGCTGAACACAGAAATCACAGGGGTTTAGGAGCTAAGCCAAAAGATCAGTTCTTCCCTGCTCCTTTGCAGCACTTCAGCACTAAGTTCACCCTTTAAATCCAGTTTCACTTATCACTTGTGAAATTCTTAGCTTTCCAAACATCCTGAAGCCGTTTCCAGAGCTGCTGTTTCCAGGCTCTGTGAGGCCGCCTGCCACCACAGCCTGCTCTTAACAACAGGAGCCTCAAGAGATCTTAAACAGGAGCTGCATTCCTCTTTATCAGAGTGAGCCCTCAACGGGGCAGGCTGAAGAATTCCAGCTATGTGGGGAGGCAGCTCAGCTGAGACATTTCCAAGGAGACACTCCCAAGGCTTCCTCCTCATGTGGGAGAGAATGTACAGAATTACATGGAACTAATGGTGCAGTCGAGTCATGCGATGCTGCTGCCTGAGCTCGCGGCAGAGCTGAGGCCCTACCCCACAGGCTTCCATTTCATAGGATCCCAGACTGGTCTGGGTTGAAGGGAGCTTAAAGCTCTTCCAGTCCCATCCAACCTGGCCTTGAGCACTGCCAGGGATGGGGCAGCCACAGCTTCTCTGGGCACCCTGTGCCAGCGCCTCAGCACCCTCCCAGGGAAGAGCTTCTGCCTAAGAGCTCATCTCAGCCTCCCCTCTGGCAGGTTAAAGCCATTCCCCTTGGCCTGGCCCTACAGGCCCTTGTCCAAAGCCCCTCTCCACGTTTCCTGCAGCCCCTTTAGGCACTGGAGCTGCTCTAAGGTCTCCCCTTAGGGAGCCTTCTCCTCTCCAGGGTGATCCAGCCCAGTTCCTTCACTCTGGCTCCAGAGCAGGGATGCTCCATCCCTCGCAGCACCTCTAACACGCCACATCCTTCAATGCTGCGCCCTACACATCCTCTTTAAGCTCCTCTTACCAGCCACCCCTCCTGCCGCTTCTTTCAGTCCAGAGTTAGGGAGAAACACACTCATTTCAGCAGGGAAATTAAGATCTAACAATTGTGCTCGGGTCTTCTGCTCTACTGCCAGAAAGCAACTGGAGGAACACAATCTGTAAGACTCGGCACCGAAAGGTGAAATGATAAATACTCTTTATCTAAGGAGAATTCAACCCCGTGCCTTAAATCCAGGCCTGCATTCTAGCGTTCAGCCCCACATCAGTTTGTTCCTCTGTTCCTCGCAGCCAGCTGCTATGAAGGGAGTGCACCAGGAGAGGATGGAGCTGGGGATGGGAGCAACCAGCCTCAACTGGCCAGTAAGTACTGGGAACAACCCACAGCAGTTGGAACTGCAGCTAGAGTGTGAGGCGAAGCGCTCGCAGATCCAGAAACCCAGACTGAGAACCACTGCTCTGGAAAAACAGAGAGGAGACATCAACAACCAGCACAAAACACCCCCAACGTGAACCACTGAGTCACAAAAGCATTACTTATCTAAAGGGAAAGGTGGCATCTCCTGCAAGGCCCTTCCAGGTCTCTCAGTTTGAGCATCCAAGGCCATTTTCCCCCATCCACGTGCTGCTGGCAGGCATCAGAACCCGTGGCCGTCTCTCACCTGTTTGAGCTTCAAAGCCGCCTGGACAGAAGGTCTGTTCTCCATCTGCTGGGCCAGTCTTCTGTTTCTGGCACTGGCTAGCTGCTGCTGCTGCTGCATGGTAGCCCGAATATTCACTGGCATCGGCTGTTTGTTCTTCAGCATGTTAGTAAAGCTTCAAGGTCGAATAAAACGGGTGTTTAAAGAAAGCTTTTATTACATACATTTATTGGCATTTCATGGCTCTCAAGACTGGATCTCCAGATCCCATGAACCTTACGTAAAGAGTGGTACTTAGGTCACGGCATATGGGATTAGGTATTCCTCGTTTTCCACAAGTGTGCAAGAACTGGAAACTCAGAAATGATGCTGCGTATTAATCGAGAAGTGAGAAAGCTTTAGGTTACTGAGGTTAGAAATGGCAGAAGGAATGACAACAAGCAAGAAGCAGAGATGGCCGTGACAGATGGGAGAGGACATCACAGGAACACAAAAGCAAAGGGAAATCTGACTGCAAAAGCCAAATTCACCCCCCAAGAGGGTTAAAAACTCAAGGCCAAAAGGCACCTTAACAAAAGACATCCCCCTAAGGACAGTCTGGTGGCCTCTGGTGCCCCATAGGAGCAATGCCACCACCCAAGCGTGGCTGCTCAGAGAAACACTTCACTTGGCAGTTTCTTTGGGGCACAAAGGATCTTCTCTTTAGGAGGATCCAGGAGCAGCAAGATGGCAAGCCTCCTTAGGAGCAGCCCATCCGCATCCTGCTGGGTGCTGGGGCTGGGAAACAACACTTAGAGATGGGGAATATGGCCTGACCAAACCAAAACGGGCTAACAAGGCCTCCCCTGCCCTGCCCCTCATCTTGCCTAGGATAACTCTGAGCACCAGTTTGGCCTCTCCATCCATCTCCCTGCAGCACTTGCTAGAGCAGGGGCAACACAAACACGGCTCTATTTCCCCCTGGCTCCATGCTACCAACAAAAGATAATCCAAGAGTGGTTAGGAGGAAAGTGAAACAGAACTGCATTGCTGTTAGTGACCACTGTCGAACTGCACGAGCTCAACGGCATGGAAAACCAGAGGAATACTCAACAGAAGAAATAAAGGAATCGAGGCAAGAGAAAGAAAAAGAGATGGAGATGAAGCAAAGCATTTGCCTCTTACAAGGCCCAGAACGTTGTTAAAGGGCCTTTGGGCTTGTTCAGCGGCCCGCTGCCTGCCTCTTACAGGCCAGACCACATGCACGTGTGTCTGCCTTGGACAAAGCAGCAAGCCTCCTGCAGCTTGGGTAACATGCTACCGTGCTGCAGCGTCGCCTCTATCAATGTAAAACACACGTGGAAGAGAAAAGGGAGGGTGTGAGCTTTTCTCTCTCTCTTGGGTTATAACACATCCCACCACATTTACGTGTCGCAAGGGTTTCCTATTAAACCGCGACGGATCAAACCGCTCCGAAAACGCTCGCCCTTTAAACCTTGCGTGCCACCTTTGGCGTGGTTTAAGGCAGAGGTGCACAGCCATCGGCTTGCTTTAATGAGCTTAAAAGAGGGCCGAAACCAGGCTGGGTGGGTTTGGTTTTTTTTTTTTGTGGGCAGTGATAACTAAGGACAACGATTTCTTATGAGCTGAAGCTGCTGTTGGCTTCCTCACCGCTCGTTCAGAGACATCTTGGTGGTGCTCTTGAGCACGACCTTCGGCGCTGACTGTGCAGCCATCTTCAGCTCAAGAGAATCTGCAAGACAGGAGAGGCGGCCTCAACCAAACAGCACTGGGGATCTCCCACGGAACCCCCCCGAAATGACCGCATCCTGCCTGCTTCAAGGGGCAGAAACAACGACAGCAATGCACTGGGTAGCACGAAACCCAGGATACAGCGGGCTTCACACATCCCCAAGTCAAACTTAACTCATCCTTACTAAGAAATGGGACCACTGGCAGGGGCAATGATGCAAAACTCACCCCCCCCCGCCGCCACCAAACCAGCACCTCATTGCCTTCTTTAGGGCAGGCTCCAACGCACTGCCACGCTCCCTATGCTCTCAGCATCAGCAACAGGGAAAGGCCACCGTGGTTTAAGGCAGGTATCACCCCCTCCGCAAGAAAACCTCGACATTACATTACAGAAGTCCCAAATGGCTTAAACCCATTAAGGTTTCACCCTCTTAATGCGATTACAACCACCTGGGACAGATGTAAGCGGTAAGTAGGGGGGGTTTAGGACCTAACGCTGCTCTAATGGGGCTCTCCACCACGGGAGCTGCCCATGAGCGCAGCACAGGGATTTAATGGGAGCTGCTCCCGATGCTCCAAGCCCCAGTGAGAAACCGCTTTCTTTACCGAGTTTTAGCACAGATCACATAGAAACGGAGCCAACAGGCAGCCGGAACCCGCTTTTTAACCAAAAAATGCGGTTTAAAAGCATTTCCCCCCCCCCCCCCCCCCTTCCTCAACAACGCAGAGGCAGGGGAGAAAGGTGAGGCCTGCCCTGGGCCGGCAACCGAGCCCTACAAGCCCCTGGCAACGGCAACGGCAACGACAACGGCAACAGCCGCCATCCATGGGGGCAAGGCTCAACCTCCCCCCCTCACCCCCGGCACCGCCTCACCGCGCCCTGCGGCCTCCCGTTCGCAGCCGGTCCCCGTCCCGTCCCTCCCCGCCCCGCCGCAGCCCTCGGGCAGGACCGGACGCTCTCACCGAAGCCGACGGTCGCCAGGTCCCGGCAGCGGTGGCTGCGGGTGGCGCGGGGCAGACTCAGCGCCCTCCGCCCGCTCCCGCCGTGCTCGAACGGCCGCGACAAAATGGCGGCGGCACCACAGGAACAGCCCCCCCCCCCGCCTTCTCCCTCCAGCGGCCAAAATGGCGGCCGCGGCGGCGCGCAAAGGGAAGGGGCGGAGTCAGGCGCGTCCCGACGGCCTCTGCTATTGGGTGGGCTGCGGTGACGTTGAGGTTTCCCGCGCGGCTATTGGTTGATGGCGGGAGGGGGTCCCTCGGGCGGGCGGGATGGGGATGGGGATGGGAATGGGAATGGGATGGGATGGGATGGAGATGGGATGGGATGGGGATGAGGATGGGGATGAGATGGAAATGGGGATGGGATGGGATGGGGATGAGGATGGGGATGAGATGGAAATGGGGATGGGATGGGATGGGGATGAGGATGGGGATGAGATGGAAATGGGGATGGGATGGGATGGGGATGAGGATGGGGATGAGATGGAAATGGGGATGGGATGGGATGAGATGGAATGGTCTGGGGATGGGATGGAAATGGGGACGGGATGGGAATGGGGATGGGGTTGGGAGGGGTGGGGATGGGGATGGGATGGGGAGGGGTGGGGATGGGCATGATATGGAAATGGGGATGGGATGGAGATGGGGATGGGGATGGAAATGGGGATGGGATGGGATGAGATGAGATGAGATGGAATGGTCTGGGGATGGGATGGAAATGGGGATGGGATGATGAGATGATGAACTGAACTTAAAGCTTATCCAGCTCCAAAGCAGGGACCCCTTCCACTAGAGCAGGGTGCTCCAAGCCCCGTCCCACCTGGCCTTGAACACTGCCAGGGATGGGGCATCCAAACCTTCCCCATCCAACCCATCCCAGTATCCCACTGCCCTCCCAGGGAAGAGCTTCTGTCTAAGAGCTCATCTCAGTCTCCTCTCTGGCAGGTTAAAGCCATTCCCCTTGGCCTGCCCCTCCATCCCTTGTCCCAAGCCCCTCTCCAGGTTCCTGCAGCCCCTTTAGGCACTGGAGCTGCTCTAAGGTCTCCCTTTCAGGAGCCTTCTCCTCTCCAGGCTGACTCAGCCCAGCTCCCTCACCCTGGCTGCAGAGCAGGGATGCTCCATCCCTCACAGCACCTCCAACACCCCACATCCTCCCTCTCCTGCCCTACGCATCCTCTTTAAGCCCCTCTTACCCCCCCCCATCCCCTTTAAATGAGCCAAACCCTACAGCGAGCAAGCGCACGAGCGGCTCTTCTGGGTATTAAAGTGGTTTCTACCCTCTTGCCCCCTTGCCCCTCCTCTAGCCCCAGAGAAGGGCACTGATTGCAGCAGGGCAATAAGGATGCAACCAGCGTGCCCCACATCGCTTCCTTCCCATCCCATCCCATCCATCCCATCCCATCCACCCCATCCCATCCCATCCACCCCATCCCATCCCATCCATCCCTTCCCATCCCTTCCCATCCCATCCCATCCCATCCCATCCCATCCCATCCACCCCATCCCATCCCATCCATCCCTTCCCATCCCACCCCATCCCATCCCATCCCACCCCATCCCATCCATCCCATCCCACCCCATCCCATCCATCCCTTCCCATCCCATCCCATCCCATCCCATCCATCCCTTCCCATCCCATCCCATCCCATCCATCCCTTCCCATCCCATCCCATCCCATCCATCCCTTCCCATCCCATCCCATCCCATCCCATCCCTTCCCTTCCCATCCCACCCCACCCCACCCCATCCCACGGCCGGGATTGCCCCACGGGGACCCGACCCCGTCCCCTCTGCCCCCCCCAACCCCGGGAGCTCCGCAGCGGGCCCGGCCCCAGCCGCGGCAGGCGATGGCGCTGCCGGCCCTGCGCGGGGCTCAGCGCGGGGGCCGCTGGCTCCGCTCCCGCTGGGCGAGCCGATAAGAACCGGTTCCTCCAGCCCCGTGGGGCGCAGGGCCCGGGACGTGCCACAGCCTGTGGGGGCCCCCCCATCCCGGACCCTCAGAGCCCCGTATTACCCCCCCCCCCCGCTATGTCCTGCACCCCAATGGGTGAGACCCTATGGGGCAGGGTGCGATGGAGGGAGCACGCTGCCCTCAGACCCAGGGTGGCTTTTTCCCTATGGCTTGGGAGAGGGAACGCTCCCGGTATCCCCAAGGAAGGGGACAGCCTTGGAAGCGGGGTCGGTGCCTTTATTATGGAGCTGGATGCCATGGGGATGCTGCGGGCTGGGAAGCGGAGGGGGAGAGCTGGGGAAGGGCTGCTCTGCGCTTCGGGGGTGCTCGGCCGGGATGGGGGTCAGGCGTTCTCCCAGAAGAAGGTGTTGCAGGCCACGGTGAGGGCGGCCACCAGGACCACGTATTCCTGGAAGTCCACTTCCCCATCGCCGTTCTCATCCAGGTCCTGCATGATCTTCTCCACGGCACCCGTGTCCTTCTGGGTCTGCGTTTGGGGGGGGGGGGGGGGTGTGTGTGTGACAGCGTCAGCATTGGATGCCCCATAGCATGGAAAGGAAAACGGGGACCCCCCCCCTGCATCCCATCGCATCCCTACCTCCAGGAAGCAGCCCAGCTCGCTCTGCAGCAGCTCCTTCAGCTCCTTCTTGCTCAGCTTGTACTTGTCCCCCTCTTTGCCCGAGTAGTGATGGAAGACGTTGATGAGCGTCTCCATGGCCCCTTCCAGCTGCGATGCCATGATTCCGGCTGCGGGGAAGCACCCACTGGGTTACGGGGGGCACCCACCAGCTTCCCCCTTTAGCATAAGGAGCATCCCTCGATCGCATCCGCTTTGGCCTTCACTATAGGGCAGAGCTGGCTATGGGGGGGGGGGGGGGGGTGTCTGCACCTCCTGTCCCTGCATCCCACCCATGGACCTGGGCTCACCTGAGCTCCGCGCTGCTCCGAGTGCTCCAGGCTGGGCTAAGCGGGGCCGTTAAATAAGCTCCAGGCCCCCTCCCTGCGGGAGGATCCGATACCGGGGCTGGACAGTCCGGCTGGCACCGCCGGGCCCCCCTCGCGGGGGCCGGGATACGGGGAGCCCGCATCCATGGTACCCCGGGGCCCTGGTCACCCCACACCGGTCCAGGGTGATGGAGAGGAGCGCGTCCAGCCCCATCAGTGCTTATGGGATGGGGATGCTGAGTTACTTTGGGGGGTGTTTGGGTCTCGCTTCCACCTTCACCACGGATGTGCCCTGTGGGTCATAGGATCGTGGAATCGCGGGAATGGCTTGGAAGGGAGCTTAAAGCACACCTAAAACCATGGAATGGTTTCCTGGAAGGACCTGGCCTTGGATGCCCCAGCGCCGGTGGGATCCCGGCATCCCCCATCACTCAGCACCGCGCTGCCGGCTCCATCCCATCCCTCCTCCCGCCGCCCGGCCGCTGGGATCCGGTGTCCTCAGCGGTGCAATGGGAGCCGATGGAGCCGGGGGGAGCCCGGGGGGGGCTATCGGGTGACCCGCACACAGAGGAGCCTCTTGTGAAGCGAACAAGAGCTCCCCAATCCCAGCCCCGAGGTTGCCGCAGCAACGGCTCCGCCGGGAAACCGGATTCCCCATCGCAGGCGCTGATAATCCCGGCTCTCGTTACGGAGCGGGAATGCGGAGCCCCCAACCTCGGGATCATCCCCCCCCCCCCTCTTTCCTTTGGGAGCTGCCCCGTGTGGCTTTTCGCAAGAGCCGGGTGGTGCCAGGCTCTTTATCCCGGATTCCAGCCCTAATTTGGGGCTAATTATATCCTGCTCCCTCCTTTGCCAGCTCCTGCGCTTCCTGTGCTTGGGAAACGCTGTGTCCCTGCCTTGGGACCCCAAAAGGAGCCTGGGGACCCCCTGTGGCACCCGGTGCATGGGGGGGGGGGGGGGCTGGAGGGGTTGGGGTGATGGGCAGGGCCTTGGTGGGGGGGTCTTGTCCTGTGCATGGAGCAGTTGAGTTGGAAAGGAGGGGCCCTGTCTGGTGTGTATGTAGGGTTCTGGATGGAATTGGGGTCCTGGATGGAATTAGGGGTCCCAGATGGAAGTGGGGTCCCAAATACAAGTGAGGGTCCCGGCTGGAATTGGGGGTCCTGGCTGGAAATAGGGGTCCTGGCTGGAATTGGGGTCCCAGATGGAAGTAGGATCCCAAATAGAAGTGAGGGTCCTGGCTGGAATTGGGGTCCCAGATGGAAGTAGGATCCCAAATAGAAGTGAGGGTCCTGGCTGGAATTGGGGTCCCAGATGGAAGTAGGATCCCAAATAGAAGTGAGGGTCCTGGCTGGAATTGGGGTCCCAGATGGAAGTAGGATCCCAAATAGAAGTGAGGGTCCTGGCTGGAATTGGGGTCCCAGATGGAAATGGGGGTCCCAGACCGAGCTGGGGGTCCCAGATGGAAGCTCGTGTCCTGGATGGAAGCTCAGGAGCCGCTTCCCAGCAGGACACAGCTCCCAGGCTGGCTTTGGCAGGGACGGGGGGAACCCTGGGGCCGGGGATCCCTATGGAAAACCGGCTCCAGGGCCTGGAATAGGCTTTTCCAGGGGGAAGCAGGGCAGGACCCGGTGGCACTCACTTGGCCGTGTCCCGTCCCCGGTGCGGCGGCCGCGGGCAGGATCCGGCCGCCCCTTCCCGGAAGCCTGATCCCAATTGGGACGCAGCTGCCCATGACGGGAATGGGCATCGCCGTTGGGTCCTGAGCTTAAATATAGCCCCGGTCCGGGTGTGTGCAGTGGCACGGGGCCACCACGGGCTGAGTGTCCGACCCTGGCTCCCATCCATCCCCAGCCCTGGCCGGAGAGCAGGATTGGGCCAGGCTATTGCCAAGCACGGGCGCCAGGGGCCATGGCTGCGGGATGGAGGGGCCGTGGTCCTGCTCCCGGCGGTGCTGGCAATGGGATGAGCGGAGCCGGCGCGGCCGCCCCGGCGCATCCCCAGGACAAGCTCTTACCAAACCGGGAGCAGCGAGGGCCGGGCCAGGAGGTTTACACACAGCTCGGAACAGGTTTCAGCCACTGCTCCACTTGCACCCAGTTCAACCGGTTGCTCCAGTTGCTGGGGCCGGGGCTGGGCTGATCTTGGTTTTCCAGCCCATTGCCGGAGCAGGGAAGAGGCTTTTCCATGCCTGGGGTTTGGAGCTGCTGTGGCAATGAGGGGGGGGGGGGGGGTCATGATGGCACGGAGCATCCCTCAAATCAGTGCCGTGCAGTGATTCCTGATAGCTGGGGGGGACACGGACACGCACAGGGGTTGGGATCCAATGGGACAATGCATGGGGACAGGGATGCGCCTGCATCCCGAGCTCTCATCCCAGCACAGAGGCTCCTGGCAGTACCAGATCCCTAGGGATGGGTCACTGTGCCCTGCCCGTGGGGACAGCCCTGAGCAGGGATCCCCACTTCAAGCCTGTGACTTGGCCGCATCCTGTTGCGGGGCTGCTGCAGCTCCTCGCCCCATCCTGGCACCCCGAATTCCAGAGGCAGGGAGTCACGGGCCCGCCTGGCTCTTGGGGCCGGTGATTCACCCCAATTGTCCCCGTCCCTGACTCACCCCGGAGCTTTCCCAAGCCACCATCCCTGTCCCCTGACGTGGGGCGCAGCGGAAGTCCCGTCCCCATGGCCCCCATCATCCCGGGAAGGGGATGGACCGGATGGGGCTGCAGGAAGCCAATTCCTGCCCCGTGAGCTGGTGTGACGGCTGCGGGGTGGGGACCGGGCCACCCATCCCCATCCCTATGGAGAGGGGCAGGGAGTGGGTCAGGGCTCAGCAGTGCCAGGGACCTCTGTGGGTCCCCAGAACACTGCTGGGGTGGGATCCCCTTCCCATGCGCCCTGCTGGCGGTGCTGGCATGGAGATGGGGATATCCCCATGGATACGCTCCCCATGGCATGCAGGGAATCCGGGATGCCTCTGCCATGCTCTGTGCAGAGATGAGACCCCCCCCCCGCGTTGGTCAGATCCAAGGAGCAGCGCCGGGACATGGGATGTGGCCGTGGGAACCGTGGTGCCATGGTTTGGAGCCGCTGCGTATCCCGGCTGGAAGCGTGCCAGCGCTGCCATGTTATAAATACCCCATGATTAAAGGGGAAAGGCTCGATCCAACCCCCTCATTAATGCGGATTAATTAATTTCCACAAAGCCCACTGTTAATAGGGGTGATGCCAGTGGGTGGCTGAGTCACAACTCTCACTCCGTGTGGGTCCCCACCGCGGGATCACAGCCTGGGATGAGCCACCGGGAATGGCAGGACATGAGCAGGGTGCTGGGGGCCTCATCCCCAGGGCAGCCTGCAGGGATGAACCCCCTGGGATGCTCAATCCCTATGGGATGCTTGAGCCTGGGGGATGCTGGTGCGAACCCGCTGTGTCCCCTCATGTCCCTCTGCATCCTGGTCCCATCCCGGCGCATCCCAGCAGTGCCGTGGAGCCCGGGGTACGTTCACATCACACTGAGCTTGATCCCTTGCCCACAACGGGGAGGGAGGGAGCAGAGGAGGACGTGGGTGCATCCGGGCAGCGTCGGTGCCTCCGTCCATCCGGCTGCAACAGGAAACCTTATTCCTGAGGCACAGAGAGGGGGAAACACGGGTCTAAAACCTCCCATAGGGCCTAAAACATCCCTGGGGCGGGGGGGTGTTGAGAGCTTCTCTGCCTGCAAGAGCCAGGGGTAAGTAGGGAATTCCTGCAGGGAATCGCACTGAGCACTGCGTTTGCAGCAGGAAACCTCCGCTGTGTCCCCATCCCTTTCCTGCCGTGCCCCCATTGCACGGGAGCACTAAAGGGCTGTGGTCCCCCCCCTGCGCCCTGGGCTGGGGAAGGGGAGTGGGGTCCCCATCTCCTCATGCGTCACCTCCGTGCCCCCGACCCCTCTCAGCCCCGTGCCGCCGCCGTGCCCCATGGCCACGGAGCTGACCGAGCTGGAGCTGGCCATTGAGAAGCTGGTGACCGCGTTCCTGGACCACTCGGGGCAGGAGGGCAGGAAGGGCTCCCTGACCCCCAGCGAGTTCAGCGCCCTGGTGCAGCTCCAGCTGCCCAACCTGATGAAGGTGAGGAGAGGGGCAGGGTCTGTGGGGCAGTGGGGGGGGTGGGTGGGGTTTGGAGCTGGGGCCTGCTCTGGTACCCTGGGATTTGTGAGCAAGAGCAAGTCGCAGCTCCTGCACCCCCCCATCCTCATCCTGGTGCCCATCCCCTTCCCATCCCTTCCCCATCCACATCCCCACTTGCATCCAATCTCCATCCCCATACCCAGCCATCACCAACCCTTCCCCATCTCCATCCCCATGCCATCCCCATCCTCATCTCCATCCCATCCCCATCCCCATTCCATCCCCATCCTCATATCCATCCCATCCCCATCCTCATCCTCATCCCATCCCCATCCCCATCCCCATCCCCATCCTCATATCCATCCCATCCCCATCCTCATCCCCATCCTCATATCCATCCCATCCCCTTCCTCATCCCCATCCCATCCCTATCCTCATCCCCATCCTCATATCCATCCCATCCCCATCCTCATCCCCATCCCATCCCTATCCTCACATCTATCCCATCTCTATCTCCATCCCATCCCCATCCTCATATCCATCCCATCCCCATCCTCATCTCCACCCCATCCCCATCTCCATCCCCATTCCCATCCCCATCCCCATCCCCATCCCATCCCCATCCTCATCCCCATCCCATCCCTATCCTCACATCTATCCCATCTCTATCCCCATCCCATCCCCATCCTCATATCCATCCCATCCCCATCCTCATCTCCACCCCATCCCCATCTCCATCCCCATTCCCATCCCCATCCCCATCCCCATCCCATCCCCATCCTCATCCCCATCCCATCCCTATCCTCACATCTATCCCATCCCTATCCCCATCCCATCCCCATCCCTACATCCATCCCATCCCTATCCTCATCTGCATCCCATTCCCATTCCCATCCCCATCCTGTCCTCATCCCCGTTCCATCCCCGTCCCCACCCCCATCCTCATTCCATCCCTTTCCCCTTCTTTCCCCTTCCCCATTCCTTCCCCTTTCTCTTCCCCATTCCTTTCCCACCCCCATTCCCATCCCGCTGGGCACCAGGACACAGCCGAGCCTCCCCTGTCCTCCCCGCAGGAGGTCCCCTCCCTGGAGGAGAAGATGCAGGAGCTGGATGTGAACCAGGACGGGGAGCTGAAGTTCAGCGAGTACTGGCGGCTCATGGGGGAGCTGGCAAAGGCCATAAGGAGGGAGAAAGCCGGGAAGAAGTGATGGGAATCTCCTCCAGCACCGAGCTAATAAAGGAGGATCCCCTGAGCCTGAGCATCGCTGCTGCTCTTAGTGAGGGGCTCTGATTCGGGTGACCCACCTGCATCCCCCCATCACCACCACGCTGTGCGGGCTGGGGCTCACCCTGCTCTTGCGGTGACGGGGCCCTTCCCAAACCACCCTCTGCCCCCCACAGACACCTTCCTGCTCAGTGCAACCCCGACGGGTGGCAGGGATGTGGGGCTGGCGAGGAGCTCAGGACCATCTCCAGCAGCGCTGCCGCCGCCGCGGTGCCCGCGGTGCCCTTGGCACCTCCACGGCATCAGCGCTCCTCATCTTGGGCAGCGTTGGTGGGAGAAGCATCTCCCAGCGCCCCAAACCGAGCTGCCATTCCCAGCATCCAGCTCCCAAACCCTGGCATTGCCGGGAATCCCTAAACCCCCCTCCACGGGGGTACCCGGCGGCTGTTCCCACGCGGTGCCGCGCGGCTCCGACCATCCCGGCTTTGCCTTTGGAACCGTCCCGGCTTTGCCTTTGGAACCATCCCTGTGGCCAGGAAAGGAGGCGTTTCCCAGCCCCACGCTGGCTCGGGGCCAGGCTCTGGGATAAGGCCTTGCCCCACACCGCAGCCGGAGCGCAGGGAGCTCCCACTCACACCTCCCCTGGTATAAAACCCCTGCGCGCCGCAGCCCGCGCACACCCGGCGCAGCCCCAGGAGCAGGTGAGTGACCCAGCACCGCCATAGGGGTGAAGGGGAGGGGGGTCCCAGCAGCACCCATCCTGCTCCCATTGGCTTTGCCATGACTTGTTCCCGCTGGGACGTGTCCCGGCAGCTCACCGCATCCTTGCGCTGCGCTGAAGGAGGGGAATCTTCCCCCCCCTCACCGAGCCCATTGCTGAGCCTGGCTTTCTCCTGCAGCTCCCCGTTGGAGAGGACAGCCCAGCACCGCTGCCAGCGAGGACCCGCAGACCCCGTGCGGAGCAGCAATGGGCCAGTGCAACTGCCGCAAGAAGCGCAAGGTCCATGAGCCATGCTGTTGTTGGCAATGGGAGGGCCGGGACCCCCGTTGGGATGCGGGGCGCAGGGCCCCATCCCTGGGAATGGGGGGGACTCGGAGCAGCACGGCCCTGTCCTGGAGGCAGACTCCAGTGGAGGAGCCAAGGGGCTGCTTTGGGCTCGGAGCCGCTTGAAAGCTCAGGGAAGCAGGCAGCTCCCATGGATTTGCCTTCGGGAGCCGTGCTTGCTCCTTGCGACCGCTCCGAGGATGCCCCCTGGCACAAAGGCTCCTGTTTTCCTCGGCTCTCAACCAAGGGGCTGCCCTCCTCTTGCACCCCCTTGGCACCTGAGCAGGATTTGGCCGGGGCTGAGGCTCTGAAGATCGCTGCCTGCTTCCTAATGGGCTTTGCCTGCTGTGGTTTGAGAGCGTCGCAAGGGGAAACCGCAGATGCCGAGTGAATCACCGCCGTTTCCCTCCCGACACGGCTTTACCCATTGAGTGCATGGGGATGCCGAGCGCACGGGGCTCTGCCCCCCTCAAAACCTGCTTGGGAAAGGGGAGGTGGTGGTGGGGGGGGGTTGTTCTGCAACCCCAATGGGGCTCCTGCTGCCTCCGAGCCCCAGCCCGGCACTGACTCATTGCCTCCATCCACCGCTTGTGCAAAGGAGAGGAAGAACCAGTCCGGACGGCAGCGGCGGCCCCCGCGCGCTCTGGGTGTTGACGCCGGGGTGGCTGAGCCTCGCTGGCCCCGGGCAAGGAGAAGCCCGGGCAAGCAGAGGCAGGGGGGTGACAATGCGGCAGGGATGTGGGGCACAGCAAGGTGGAGGGGTACGGGAGCTCCAAGGCGGGGGGGCTGAGGCTGGGCAGAGCTTGTATGGAGGGATGCGACATCTGGATGGGAGGGATTCACATCTGTATAATGGGGTTTCACATCTGGATGGGAGGGTTTCACATCTGTATAATGGGGCTTCAGATCTCTACGGTGGGGTTTCACATCTGGATGGTGGCGTTTCATATCTGGACGGTGGGGTTTCACATCTGGATGGAGTGGTCTGGCATTGGTATGGAGGGGTCTTGGATCCATACGGAGGGGTCTCACATCTGGATGGAGAGCTCTGGCGTCAGGACGGAGTGGTCTTGCAGCTGTGTAGGCTGGTCTCAGGCCAGTACGGAGGGGTATCACATCTGGATGGAGTGGTCTTGCAGCTGTATGGGGGACTCGCATCTGTGCAGTGGGGCCTTACAGTAAGAGGGGCTCTCACATCTGTGCTGAAGGGGATCGTGTTGATAAGGGGGCTCATCGCGTTGTTTAGGGGTAGAACATCTGGCACATCTGCTCGGAGCCTTCCGTCCGTCTGAGCCTTCCCTCTTTTCCCTGCTCAGGACTGCCAGGAGCTCACCGACGTGGAGCGCGCCATCGAGACCGTCATCAACCAGTTCCATTGCTACGCCGTGAAGGGGCAGAAGGAATACCTGACCCCCAACGAGATGCAGGAGCTCGTGGTGCAGAAGCTGCCCCACTTGGGGAAGGTGAGAGCAGAGCCTCGGGGTGGGCAGGGTAAGGGGGCCACGGGCTGCCTGCGGGACCCCACAGCTCCATCACCCCAATGCTTTCTTCCCCCCTCCTCATCCCGCTGCAGTGTGTTGGACCACTGGAAGAGAAGATCGAATGCATGGGAGACCCTGATGAAGCCAAGCTGGAGTTTGGAGAGTACTGGGACATGATGGGGGATGCGGCCAAGGGCTGCCGGAGGAAGTAGAAGGGCGGCGGGGGGACGGGAAGGCGCCCAAGGCCTCAGGCTCTGCACCGTGGGTGCATGCGAGAGGCTGCTGGTCCCGGTGGGATGCGCTTGGGAATGCACAACGCTGCTCATCTCCTCCCCGCATCCCTGCCCGGGGCAGAGGGATCCCCCTCGCCGGCTCCCTTCCTGCCCTCTCCTTCCCGTCAGGACACCTCCCTTCCCATCCCCAGCAAGGGTGTGGTAAAGGGGGTTCCTGGCTCCAGCTCCGGAGCCGCCTTTCTCCGTCCTTTGCTCCAGAGCCTTTATCCCAGGGGTTATCCCACCTCCGGCCCTGAAAAGCCTCCGGTTGCAGGTCCCCCAGCCCCGGAGCAGCGCAGCGAGAGGGACTCGGCTCCTTTCCCCCTTCCTTCCCCCCTTCCCCCCTCCAAATCCCTTGGATGTTTGGGCTCGTCCCCCTGCCACTGATGGGACCCCCTGTGCCTTGTGCTTCGAGCACCTCCGGGGTATCCCAGGCTCCGGGGCCAGCACCAGTGTCTCCATGCCTGGCCTGGGTCTTATTCCCTGCTCTTCCCGCAGTGCAGGGACCGTGGTGCCTTGCTCCTGGCCAGGTTTTGGGGGTGCTAAGCCAGGGGGGTACCATGGTGCTCCCCCATTTGCCCCTCTCCAGGGATGCTGGCCCCTGGCTGGGCTCGGGGCTGGGATGGTGGCGGGTTGTTACCAGCTTGCAACCAGTTTTGTATAAATTAATAAAGGAAAACACTGGAAAATCCCAGCCAGAATGGGGTGATGTTGTTTGTCCTTGGTGGGAGAGGGAAAGGGGGGGGGGAAAGGAGGGATGGGGCTGCAGCCACCATGGCTTTGAGCATTGCTCGCTGCTGGGTTGCTGGCCCCGGTACTGAGCTTAGGGTACAAGGGGTGCTGCAGGGGTAGAAGGGATTCTGTGGGGGTACAAGGGATGCTGCAGGGGTACAAGAGATGATGTGGGATACAAGGGATGCTGCAGGAGTACAAGAGATGCTGTGGGGTACAAGGGATGCTGTGGGCTACAAGGGATGCTGCAGGGTGCAGGGGATTCTGTGGGGGTACAAGGGATGCTGCGGGGGTACAAGGGATGCTGTGGGGGTTCAAGGGATGCTTCAGGGTTACAAGGGATGCTGCAGCGGTACAAGAGATGCTGTGGGGTACAAGGGATGCTGAGGGGGTGCAAGGGATGCTGCAGGGGTACAAGGGATGATGTGGCGTACAAGGGGTGCTGTAAGGTACAAGGGATGCTGCAGGGGTACAAAGGGTGCTGTGGGGTACAAGGGATGCTGTGGGGTACAAGGGATGGTGCAGGGTACAAGGGATGCTGCGGGATACAAGGGGTGCTGCGGGGTACAAGGGATGCTGTGGGGTACAAGGGATGCTGTGGGTGAGCATGGTCCTGCTTTAATGGCTCTTGGTTCCTGGGGTGGCTCCTGCTCAGTGGTCTCCCTTTGCGGGCACCCCACAAGCAGAACCAGCGTGGTGTGCACAGACCGGGCACCCCCAAAGCTCAGGGCACGGGCTCAGAAGGGTCCCCTCCATGTCACAGGAGGTGGGATTTCGCTGTCGTTGCAGCACACTGGAAAGCAGGGAATGCCACAAAGTGGTGGCTCAGCGGGATGGGGCTGAGTGCGTGGAGGGCCACAAAATGGGCTTGGAAGGGTGCAGAGGGCTTTAAGTTATCCCCCTCTTCCCTCTTCCACTGCTGTGCTCTGTGTCCTGGAGGCATCTCCATGGGATGGAGACCCCTGAAACAGAGCTGGCGGAGGGGCCTCAGCAGCGTTGGTGCTGCAGGGACAAGCCCAAAGGTGAACAAACCCAACCCAAATGTGATAGGACCCGAGGCAGGGCCATGGTGGCCGCAGCGCCGACACTGCGGCTCGGCTGTGGCCACCCTGTGTCTCCTCTCACCTTGGGCTGGATTTCACAACGGGAATGACTATTTATTGTCCCTGCCTTGGCAACAAGTCCATGGAAATGAAGCAGAGAGGTGTGGTGTGTGCTTAATGAGACAGGAAATGTGTCAAATGGTTGGGGTGATGATGGGGGGAAAAGGGGAGCCGAGGCTCTGGGATCTTCTTCCCAGCACCAGGCTGGGAGCGTGCCACGGGCCTCTTGGCTCCCATTTGTGGTTGGGAGACCGGCTCCTCGGCGTGACGGGGCTGTCGGGAGCTCGGGAATTCCTGCAGCGTGAGGCAGCCTTGATAAGGATCTGTTGTAGATGGGAAGCCCTTGGAGGTGGGAGGAAGAGCTCAGACCAAGGTGGTCGGTGCTCCTTGGGGAGCCAGTGTTGATCATGAGGGCAACGCCATGCAATGCGCTGTCCATGCCGGGAGCACCATCACGGTGGTCCCCAGAGACCCCCAGATCTGGGTCTCGTTGTCACCCCTTTCCCATGGAGCAATGCTCGTCCATGAGACACCAAAGTGCTCCTGACCCTTCAGACCTGAAGCTGTTGGGCACCACCGGGGAGCCCCAACCCCATGGGGAAGTGCCTTGTGATGGCTCCGGATGGGACGTGGCTGCTCCGAGCACCCGCACACGCCCTGGATGCCTTGTAAAAAGAAGGGCCTGGATGCGGTTGTGACATCTGCCAGGCCCAGGAGGATAATGAAAGGCCGTGATTCAGAGGTGAGCTGTCTGCCTGCAGGGTCCGGGAGGGATTCCCACCCTCCTGGGATGTTGCATCAACGATACGGGAGCATCGCGGTTGAGAGCCGGCTGCTTCCTCCCAACCGAGATTAGGAGGAAGCCAGTGGAGAGCCTCTGCGATGACACGTCTGGGGTGTCCCTAAAGGTCCTCTGAGCAGGTAGCTCCTGCCTGGAATAGATCACCTCCTCCTGCGCATCCTTAAATAAGCAGCTCCCAATAACACCCCTATCTCATCTTGGCATCAAATCACTGCGCCATGGCGCTGGGAAACGTACAAGGGTACAATTTGCTGGGACAATTAATTATGGAGGTGACTACACAAGCACAGCTACCAGGTGGGGAAGAGCTTTAGCTGGCCCAGTGCACCTAGGGATGGTTGACAGATGGAGAAAACCCTGCTTGGAGCCGGTGCTGATGCTTCCAGCACCCCAAAGAGCAGCCCCAGCCCGTTGCACCCTTGAGAACAAGTGGTTTTGGTTCAAATAAATGATGCCTTCACCTTGTGGGGCAGCTCCCGTCCCACACCAGCCCCATAGTGGGTGGTTTGGAGTAAGGATGGGTGATGGGGATGCAGCAGGGGATGGAGGAGCTGGGTTTTAGGGTGGTGCGTGGCTGGATGGGAGCCCACCACCCCTTCGGCATAATGGGGTCTTTCGGGGTGGTCCCCAAGCACCTTCCATCGCCCCTCTTCCATGCATGGGAAGGAGCCGGAGCCGGGTCCTGCTGCTCGCACCGACCCGTCTCGGGTGTTGCAATCGCACGGAGCCATTTCCCAGGTGAGCTCCGGCCTGGGAACGCCCCGGGAACGTCAGGGAGGGGTGGGAGCCTCTTTAAAAGCCCTGCTGGGCCCCGTGCTATGGGTGCAAGGTGAGCAGAGAGCGGGTGCCGTCGGCTCCCATCGACCGTGCTGCCGGAGCGGGGACAGACGGACACAGCGGGACCCACGCGGGCTCTGAGGTGGGGAGCAGGGAGCCAGCATGGGGATACTGGGGTGGGAATGTTCAACCAGGGACGTGCTGGGGCACGTCGGGTGCTGGAATCCCCTTGAGCCCTTCGGCAGCTCCGAGTGCGTGGGGCCGGGATGGAGGGGACCCGATGGATACAAGGGGAGCATCAAGGGGGTGCGTGGTCCAGAGTGGGGCTCAGCAGCTTCCATCGAGCTCTGCTGCCTATGGAGGGGCAGCACATGGGGGGGGCTGGGGGGATCTGGCCCCTGGAATAGGGATATTTGCCTCCTGCTGTGGGTACTGGCGAGCATGTGAGGAAGAAGAGGGAGAGGTGAAGGAAGAAGGGGGACCATGGGCAGCCTCGTCCCCTTGTCCCCCTATGGGGACAATGTCCCCGTGCCCCGGCCTGGCCTCTGGGGCTCGTGGTGGGGCTGGGGTGCAGGCAATGGCAGGGGCTGTGAGTCAGCACTGAAGCAGCAGCCACGATGCCCCGAGGATGGGCTGCATGTTGGTGGCCGGGGATCGGTGATACCAGTGTGGGGTCTGCACCCAGTGGGTGCAGGGGGTGGGTGCTAGCACCCAGGGTGCTGCTGATGAGCTTTTGTTGGCTATTAATGGCCTGGAATGAGGAAGGGTCGGGGCTGGAGATCTCCTGTGAGTGGTTCCAGCTCCCAGTACCCTGCAAGTTGGGGATGGTCCTGCGGGATACAGACACAGCAAAGGCTTCCATGGGGACAAGGATGGCTTGGGAGGGCACCCAGCCACGCCAAGGGATGCAGGGACGAGCCTCGTGTCTCCTGTCACCACCCTGAGGTGCCGACGTCCCCGGCCTGGAGCTGGATTGGGGAGGATCAGTGCAAAGGGAGAAGGGACCCGAGGCAAGTCTGGGGCACGGGGCAGGTCCTGCCTGCTTCCAGGATGGAGACACCCTCCTGGATGATGCCCCAGAGCAGGGAACGTGCTGGGTCACCCCTTTGGGGCCGCTCGTGCCGCCCCGTTGGCTTCCTCCACTGCTGCGATGGTGGCCATGGGCTGGTGTGGATCAGCATGGATATTGAAGTGACTGGGAACAGCATTCCCAGCTCAGCCCATTCCCTGCCATCGGCAGGGCAGGAAAGAGCCGAGGCCGGACAAGGTGACGCAGTTTCCTTCCCTGCCTGCATCCTGGGCAGGATGCGGCCGCCGGACCCCGTGACGAGGCCCATCCTGTTGGGTCCATCCATAGGAACGAGCTCGGAACCCACTGGGAAGAAAGAAAGGGGACCCGGGACATCGAGCAGAGAGGCAGGATTGGAGCCGGGCTATGGGGCTGCTGTTGGCTGGGGGGGCTCGGGCAGATCCAGACCTGCCCTGGGCAGGGTGTTCCCGGTGCGGTGAAGCAAGAGGAGGGCTGGCCGGTAATTCCTGCCCTCATCCCATCGCACGGCTCCTCCCTAGGCAGCCCTGGGAAGCCGCGGCCCCGTGGAGCCCCGGTGCCGTAATGACTGCCCCGACCCACGCATGGAGGCGGCCGCCCCGAGGGGCAGGAGGGGCTGATGGTGTGGGGCGGGTGCACGGAGCAGCGCCTGCCCATGGGCACTGCTGGCTCTATGGAGCCCTTCCATAGAGGCTGGGGTTTGCCTGCGTTGGGGCTTGCGGTGACCCCCATGGAGGGCATGGGTTGGGTTGGGTTGGGTTGGAAGGGAGCTTAAAGCTCATCCAGCTCCATGGGCAGGGACAGCTTCCACCGGAGCAGGGTGCTCCTTGAGCACTGCCAGGGATGGGGCATCCAAA